ATGGATCAACAAACTTAAAAAGGGACTTTCCTTTAAAGGAGAAAAATGTGGGAAACCATGGCTTTTCCCTGGCAGAGTTCCAGCCTCCAAGGGACTACTTTGGGCCCTGCATCCCCACACACCCACCCCCTACCCCCCGCACACTGGGGGGCTGGGGCCTGGGGGCGAGAGACAGTGTGTCGGGAGTGAACAGCACTGGGTCAGGACTGGCCATTGATATTTACAAATGACTCCTGGTACAAAAAAGTTTGAGAACCACTGTCCTAAGCAACCTAATACAACACTGATACACAGAATGGAGGAAGCTGTTGTGACTAGGATGACAGGAACTTGTGAGGGTTCAGGCAGTATAGCCAACAGGGTTAGGGATGGTTAAGTCGGGAGGTATATCTTAGGAGGGAAACTATAAAAGATTGTAGGGGTATTTCTTCATGGGTTGCAAGAGCTGACAAATGAATTCCCTTTAATGAATAAGGGATGCAGAGGTGTTTGATGCTGGGGAGGTGGTCTGGGAGTAACGAGTCTTGGCAGCTGAGTAAGGGAAAACAGAGTAGAGGGCATGCTGTACAGGAGTGTTTCCTGGACTCTCCTCTGCCAATCTTTCACAGAGGAGGAAAACAATCATTTGAAACATTACTGTCTATGCATAGAGCAAAATAAGCTTCATTTGCATGTAATGACAGCTACCGATTTCTCAGTGAAAACCATAGTACTTTCTCTGATAAATTTCTAGGCTTGTCTACACAGAGAAGTCTAATTTGCAATTTGCTGCAGCATGCTAAATATGCAAAAGATGGTTCACTGTAGCAGATCCACATAGCCAGCTGGCTCATAACACCACGTGAATCACTGCATCCACACAGTAAAGATTTACCTTTATTCAACGTTCAGTCTTGTAGCAGTTTCGTCTTTCTGCTAGGAACAGTTCATTGAGGAATACAGACCACAAACCAGCCAGAAGTAGCTATGATTTTAGGACTTTAGGCCAAACCCTCAAATTCCTATAGTGAGTATTATGATGGGAGGGAAGAACGTTTGCCTCTGGGAAAGTCAGACAGACATACATCTTATGCATGGCAGCTTTCATTCTCCAGGACTGCAGGATCCCAAAGCTCATTGGACACTGTAGTGAGGATGCTTACCCCATTACTGAAAATATGACCAATTTCTGGCTGGGACACAGTCAGGCACAAGCAGCCCACAGCCATACAGTGCACAAGATGCACTAAACACTGTATTCCATTGAAACTACAGGGGAGGGAAAACTGTCAGGAAGCCACGGGAGGTGATGGAAGCAGATTGCAGTCAGGCTTAAAGAGGGGCTGGAAACATTTAAGGACGACAGATCTATTAATGGCTATTACACAGAGTGGTTGGAGATGTTTCCTCTGGCATCTCTAACCCAACAATGGTGGATACCAGGGAAAGTACTGAATAGGGGATAGATCACCCTAGAGATACCTTGTTCAGTGCTCTCCTTTTATAGCATCTACTTCTGCCACTGTCAGAGACAAGCCAGTGGGCCAGAGGGGCTATTGGTCTGACCCAACATGGCTATTCTTATGTTCTAATGTTCAGAGAGGTGCACTTGCTAATGAAAATGTAGGATCACATCATGTATCACTCATTCCTGTCATCATACCCACTGGGAATGTAAGAACTGCCAAGTACTGGGTCAGACCGCAGGTCCATCTTGCCCACTCTTCTGTGTCACACAGCTACTCTCTGCACCTCTTTGTTTATGCACTCCCCATCTGCAGCCCCACCAAGTCCTGAGACTTCCTGCTCAACCTCCTCCTGGCCCTAGCCAAGCTGGCAATATACCTGACCAGGAAGGAGGTTCTAGCTGGGTGAACCCGCAGGGAATGCAGGGCTGTCTTCCTGTCCCTTGCCTGTTCACATCTCTGGGCAGTCATTCAAGGGCTAGTGAGCACTGTCAGTGTCCTCTGCTCAGTGTCCCCACCTTGGTGCACTCATTTTGAACCTTTGACCCATCCTTGTTTTCTCTGTACTTGTCCCCTCAAAATCAACTGGTGTATACCCAATAGCCCTCCCCTCCATAACAGGGGGGCTAACAATTGCTCCATGAGAGTCAAGGCCATGTTAATTCTATGAACCAAATAGGCCTGTCACACAGCTACTCTCTGCACCTTTTCATTTATGCACATCTCATCTGTGGCTCCAACAAGTCCTGGGACCTCCTGGTCAACCTCCTCCTGGCTCTAGCCAAGTTCACGATCTGTCTGATCAGGAAGGAGGCTGGCAGGACCCCTGGGGACTGTAGGACCATTTTCCTGTCCCTAACCCAATCATGTCTCTGGGTAGAATTTCACTGGGCAGTGTTCACTGGCTCCTTGGACTAATTTGAGGGCCAGTGGGCACTGCCCAGTGTGTTCTGCTCAGTGTCCCCCCTTCCAGCACTTGTTTTAAATCTGTGACCTTACTCCTGTCCCTGTTTTCTCTGTAGTTGTCCCCCAAACTCAGCTGACATGTCCCCTGTGGCCTCCCTCCTAAGGGGGGCTTATTGTTCTTTCTTGATGGGCACAAGTCCATAATTGATTAGGCATGTCAAAAAGGCCTGTGTCACACAGCTGGTGCACACCTACCTTGAGTGTGCCAGGTTGCAGCCCCTTTTCTGCCTCCTCCAGAATCTCCTGCTCAGGTTCTGGTTGCACTTAGAAATCATAAAAAATTAGGGTTAGAAGGGACCTCAGGAGGCATTGAGTCCAACTCAAGGCAAGACTATCCTGCTTTGTCTAGCTGGGTCTTAAAAACCTCCAATGATTGATCTTCCACCACCTCTCTGAGTAACCTGTTCCAGTGTTTTACTACCCTCCTAGTGAGAAAGTTCTTCCTAATATCTAACCTAAACTTTCCTTGTTGCTCCTTGTTCTGTCATCTGCCACCACTGAGAACAGTCCAGCTCCATCCTCTTTTGAACCACCCTTCAGGTACTTGAAGGCTGCTATTAAATCCCCTCTCAATCTCCTCTTCTCCAGACTAAATATGCCCAGTTCCCTCAGTCTTTCCTCATAAGCCATGTCCCCCAGCACCCTCACCATTTTTGCTGCCCTCTCCTGGACTGTCTCCAATTTGTCCATGTCCTTTCTGCAGTGTGGGGCCCAAATCTGAACACAGTACTCCAGATGTGGCCTCACCAGTGCTGCATAGTACTTCTCCCTGCACCTCTTCTTTTATGTACTCCCCAGCCCCACCAAGCCCCAGGAACTCATGGTCAACCCCCTCTTGACCCCAGCCAAGCTGGACATCTACCAGACAAGGAAGGAGGCTCTGGCTGATGGAGGAACAAGTGCAAGGGTGGGGCGATGTCTTCCCTTCACTCCTCCACTCGTGTCTCTGTGTAGTTTCACTGTGTGGCATCCATGGGTTCATTTAGGGGGCCATGGGCACAGGCCAGTGTACTCTGTTCTGTGTCCCCTTCCAGCTCCCTTATGATGAACCTGTCCCTTCACTCCCCTCCCTGTTTTCTCTTTACTTGGGCACATCAGAGGCCTGGGCACCAAGACAAGCTGTGGCCACTGTGCTCTGCTCAGTGCCCCCCGAGTGCATGTTATTAGTTTCTGAGCCTCACTCCTGTCCCTGTCACAACTTAGGCTAGAGTGCACACTTCACAGCCCCCTCCGAGACCAGCTGTGTTGCCAGGTGTACGATAATTATTGTATTTGTGCAATAATTTCAACCCTTGTATGATGTACGACCAATAATAGTAAAAGCATTCAAAACATACAATAATTTTTAAGGCAGCTAACTGATGCCAAAAATGCAAAACCCAGATCAATCTTGGGGAGTCTTAACTTACTTTTTTTTGGGGGGGGGGGGGGAACGGGGGGGTTAATATATTTTGTGTTCCAGGTTAAATCAGATTGATTAAGCAGATCTCAATCATTGCAAAAACCATGGATTGAGCAGGCAGAACTCAATCATTCTAAACCCAACGTAGGGCACTACAAATGGTGAGCGTCCTCCATCACAGCCTTTCACCCCAGGACTTTAGATACTCCAAAATCCATTGCCAAGCATCCTACCTGCAGGCCCAAGCCCAGAGAGCTTAGGATTCAGGTGCCCCCAGAAACTACAGGCAAGCATCCACCATCCTAGACCAGGACTTCAGTTATTCCCTGCACTGGATCCCTACACCCACTAGAGGCTGGGTTTGTTTGTTTTTTATTCTATTTAATTTGTATCCACAGCCAAATAAGCCAAAACTAATTCCAAATCCAAGGGTCCAGAACCATAAGTGGCCCTACTACCGGCAAATATCCTCCACCCGCATCTGGGGCTTCAGATGTTTCCAAAACCTTTGGCAGGCATCCTACATACAGGCCCAAGCCCAAAGGCTTGGGGTTCAGAGGCCCCCAAGTTTTGCCTCCCCTCAGCCATAAAGCACTCAGAGCAAGCAAGAAAAAAGAGACTCCTGTTTCCATAAACTCGGCTTAAAGCCGCCGCACCTCGGCAGGTCCCAAACCACGCCAGGAGAGCAGTTCTCCTGCGATGCAGTTGAGGAAAACTGCCTTCTTGGACCCAGGTACATGGTATTTCCCCTACCAGGTCGAGAAGCTGCAATGTTTGTCCTGAGCCTTCAAGAGGCTGAGAAGCGACACCGCTGGTTTGCTCTCGCTGCTCTCTTAGGACAGCTCACCTCCTAATAACGAAAGGCTTCAGCGTCGATGACCCTCGTCCTCACTGCCACCCAGGCTATTCCTGCACAGCTAGCAACAGGCAGTAAGTAAGACTGACTTACTTATTTAATTTCTACCCAGAAGCTCACAAAGAGGAATTTTCCCTGCTATTTGGGTCGGTCTAATACAAAGATACCGGATTTCCCCTCAGAACCTCCTCAACACTTATTTGCATCCTTTTCTCCGTGTACTTATTTGCATCCTTTTCTCCGGTAGTTTTTCAGCAAATCCGATCATGTCCAGTTTCCTAGTTGAGACCTGGCAGGGCTGAAGACAGCCGGGGGAGGGGGTTGTCCTTACCCCAGGACTGTGGCCCCGGCGCGAGGAGCGGCCTCACCTCACCCGGCTCCCGCGGCCGACAGGGCCCCGCTGCCCGCGCTCCACTTCCGGCCCCGCCGCCGCCCGCGCGCATGGGACAAGGCGGTGCTGGGGGCTCGTCCCTCCCCAGCAGCGGCCGCTCGTCTCCCGTCACCCGCCCCAGGTAAAGCGCTGCAACCCCCGCGGCTTGCCTCCACCAGCGGCCGCGGCCTCAGCCTCGCCTCAGCGGGCAGCTCTGAGGGAGCTGCTGGAGGCCCGGCCGGGCCTGACTCCCCCCGCCTCTCTCCCCACGGATGATCCCCGCTAGGAACGGTGTTTGGGAGCACGTCTGAACCAGCCTGGATGATATTTGGGAAGACGCCGTCTGCCCCGCCCCCCCCGCTTCCTATCGCGACCGAGGGATGGGCCCTGCACAAACATCACCCGCTGCCCCTTTCCTCCAAATCACTAGCGAAAGTATCAGATAAAACCCAAACTGGCACAGGGCCTTGTCGTTTCCTCGTTTAGGGCACCCGTTTGTTGTTGTAACAATTGACCTGAGTTCATTATTGACTGATAACAAGACTTTTTGCTTCCATTTTAATTTCCCTTCAGAGGGCTTCAGGTAGACAACTCCTTGTAAAGATGCCCCCCACCCTTTTTTGGTTTTGGAGGGGTTTTTTTGCAGGATTCAGGGAAGGCTGTCTCCAAATCTTAGCGACTTTCCCATGGGCTGTGACATGCTGTCACAGGCGTGTTTCATCATATTGTGCCGTGTTTGGGTGCCATGTCAAGATCAAGTTTAGCTGCAAGGTCCTGGGAATAGAAACTGGGCCTCCTCAGATTGCACCGGGCACATTTGCAAAGTCCAGATCCTGAAGGTGATATGTGTTTGCCAACATTATGCAACTTGTATGAGGAGACAGGTTGTATATTGTGATGGTATTGCAGAAGACTAGAAAAATGCCTAGCTACAGTAAAGAATGAAACAATTCAACAGTTCTGTAGACTGATAATGCACATGCTTTAGATCAACAGTTCTTGGACTGTTTTACAAAATAACAGCTGGCATCTGCAGAGATCTGGCTGCTCATAGAGCATGCACCTTTCTTGTTTCCGCTTGACCCATTTAATCAAATTAAAAGAAGATACTCTCATTAAACATTTTCTCTGTTCTTTTTTCTTCCATCCATGCAATTGCTACAGATGTCCACAGAGATGATGTGTGATTGTGAATGGGTGGGGAAATCATCCATGCAACAGGGTCAGCCAGTTGTATTATACTATACAAGAGGGTAGAGCTCCATAAAACCGATCATTTATTAAGATGTTGTTAGTGTGATATCTGCAGGGGGGAGGGGAGACACTACTACTGATACTTAGAAATGTGTGTAATTTGTATTAGTAATATCTGTGACATACATTAAAAAATCCCAAACCTAAGGGTTCCCCCTTTTATTGGTTCTTGCTTACTGCTTTTCCATGTTGGGGAGGTGAGAGGGAGAATAGTAAAGCAAACATCTTAGCAAAATTACAAACTGAATAAGAACAGAATCTAAAATAATCCAAGATCATAAACTGCCAATGTTCATGGTGTGGGGGACATGTGATCAACGGATGGGTTCTGGAGAAATATCACCCCCTTACCCTGTCTTACAAATCAGTAGTGAAAGTATTAAATAAAACAAAAACTAACATAGGGCCCTGCAGTTTCCCTAAAGATTTCCTCATTTATGTCACCCATTTGTTATGGTAACAGGTGACCTTAGTTCATTATTGACTTAGGTTTTGAATTGATTACCTAGAGATGAAAGACTTTTTGCTTCCATTTTAATCTTCAGATCTACCCAGTCACTTAATTAACATTAAATTTTGATACATGAAAAAAACAGAATATTGTATCAGGTTTATTTGTCCAATGTTTATTCATAGGGAAGTACGCTCTGAGTTAGAAGGATTTGATTTGAAGCACAAGATTCAATAATTCTTTTCATTAGTCTTCTTTGAAACGGGTCAGTTTGTCATTGCAATGTCCCTAGATGGTTAATATTTTGAACAGCATAATTATTTGAATTGGTATTTGTTTTAAAGGATTTGAAGGTGCTAGAGGGTATTAAAATTTGTTATTACTAATGCCGTATCATGGACTTGGTGCTATTCAGAACCAAAAGAACTGACAGCCTTTTAATTCAGCTCATCTCTTCATCATATGTTATGTTAAAGGTAAACACATTTGTTGAATGTCTTGCTACTGGCAAATGATTTTTGATGTCTCCTTCCCGCAAGAATGCAGTATCCCTTTAGCCATAGGACTGTATAAGCATTCATATTTGCTAGATATGTGCATTTCCCAAGTAACCATAATGCAGTTACTGCTATGGACAGAACTAATTAGGCTCTCATAATGAGATTCATTACCCAGTGGTGGAATTATGGTTAATTCTATTGGCATCACACCACACTCTGATGCTGGGTAAAAATTGATATAACTCATTAATGAGCTACTCCCCTCCCATTTCCTTCACTTTCCTGAAGTTTTGCTATTTTATATTATATGAAAATGTAGGCAATATGAAAACTGTTTATACTCCGTAATTATGAAAGACAAATGCAAGAACTCTTTCAAACTTGAGGAATAAGTGTTTGGAGTTAGAGACCAACAAAATGATTTTTTTTTTAATCTGCTACCAAGTAGCACCCAGACTTCATCCATCATTGAGCAGAGTGGATAGCTTAAAAATATTGCACAGAAAATGATCGGGAACATACATCCTGAGGCCTGCTGCATTTGAAAATGGTGGTTTCAATTCCCATTAATCCACCTCCTCAATTAGGAAATTGACTGATCTGTTGCTTAGAGTTGTTGGAGACTGGCTGTTGTCCACGCTGGATCAGAAAATGTGCATACAGATGAAATGTTATTAGCTGCCATTTCTGTAGTTTTAAGTAGACAGGAATTAAATGGAGCCATGGATGAAATGAAACAAAAGTTTAACAGAGCAGAAAAGTTACATTTCTGACCTATGTTTGTAGAAATTTGAAGATTTTTTTTTCTAAGGGATATATGTTGAAATTTTTTAGCTCTGAAAATAAGGCCTCAGTCACGTTCTGGAGACCATGGAAACATTCAGTTGATATAATCTTAGAGAAACTTGTGGATTAAAAGGAGGATTTGGCTGAAGGACATGTTACTTGTCAAAGTCACTTCATTTAATAAGGATCAGGCGTAGCCAGAAGGGACAAGGGATTCCATGTTAAAAACGTTTGGAACTTGTCATGAGCCAATGCACATAATCATTCCATTACTGTAAGAGTATTGCAGCAACTAGCAGGTGGCTGTTTTTAATTATGCCTTGCCTGACTGCTGGAAGCCACAGTAGGGCTCTACTTGCACTGAACTCCAGTCTAGGGTGAACTAAAGATCTGTGTGAAAAAGGGAAACTGTCTCATGGAAGCAACCCTATTATTTTGTACTGTAATCTTGACAGCTTTTGTACCCTATACAGATGGGTATACCTATGCCTGAGTAAGTATCTGGGTGAGAAACCTCTGAGAAACCCAGGTTGTGAAGGAAGGGAGACGACTGATTTAGTAGTTAGGTTTTTTTGCTCCAAGTCAATAACAAACCTGTTGCTTCCATGTTTTACTAGAGGGTATTATGCTAGAAGTGTTGCTGTCATTGAGATGACACACACAACAATAATGACCACTTGTGATTGTTAAATAGCCTGTGTCTGTTTTCACAAAGGCTTGGCTATTAGTTTTGGGTATCTTGGCCACATTCCAATTTGGATAATTACATTCTGCCTTCCCATTTTTTTCTCTGCAGTTTCAACTGGGTATATTATTCACTTTCTGTCCTGACAAGTGCTGTGAAACAGCTGACGTGTTCCTCCTTGCCGTGGGAGCTGCATATGTAGAGTGGTAATTGCTTTACTGTCCTTCCCTTCTTACAGTTACAGTGTAATTAAACAAGTATGAGTGATGAAATAGACCAGAAATCAAATAGCACAATCCCAAAGCTGGTTTGAGGAGTTAAAACAAATCTAATGAAAAATAATAGGAAAATGCAGCCCAGTTCCTTCCAACAGCACTCCAAAATAACTGTAGACTCAGTGAAGAACCTCAGAAGTAACTATCTTTTTTCATCCATTTGAAATTCATACCTTGATTAAAAAATAAGTGGGGGTATGGAAGGAAACCAAAATCTGAAAATACTCCAGTTTAAAACAAATTCATGGTGGAGACTCTTAGATTTTGATGGGAGCATGCGTGAGTTCAAGAACCTGTTCCCCCCTCAGTATTTTCTTCTCCAGACTAAAGAACCCTAGTTCTTACAGCTTTTCCTTATAAGTCTTGCCTCCCAAGACCTAATCATTTTTGTTGCTCTGCACTGA